AGTTTTGTGCTTCATAGGGATGATGTGAGGGTAGTAAATAAAGTAGAAGCAAGTCGAACACAAGGACTGGCATGCAGCAAACACACAGTGAATGTAAAAGAGGGTTATTAATAACTCAGAGTCACACTGGAGGATCCAAGAGGGATCCTAGGGGGATTTCATCCGGAGTCAGCCAAGCTCTCCACCCAAGAAAACCCTGCAGAGCACACTCTCTTGGTATTTCCCAAACTCGAGGACCCTAAGCCCTAAACGACTGCCTTCAATCCTGGAGGCAGTAAAAGAAATTCAGAGGGGGATGCCACACAGTTTGAAAATACAAATGGTACTCTGGCTTCCTGCGATTCACGGTTCCTCTCCCCAGTAACTGGAGAGGACCATTCCTTCAGTTCCGTAACTGAAAGCCCTGATTTCCAGGTGCCCAGCCTAGGAGGGATACCTCTGATAAGGAGGGGTTTCAGTTCACGCCTAGGACTAGGACACTTGAAGGAGATTTGGCAACCTCCAGGTCTCCCATGTTCACGAGCCATGTGCTGGAGACCATGAATATTCAGCTGCCTTGGGCTGACCCCTTGCTTCTCCAGGGCACCTCAGGCTGTCTGGGTAAACAGACTTCTGCCCCTGTCCCTTATCCGGGTGCAGGAATAAGACTCCCAGCCTCCACTTTTCCCCTCTTCCCCAAATCCATAACCTGGCCAATTGTGATAGGGGTCTCACTTGCTCAAAACCATTCCAAGCTCTCCCTTGCCCTCAGAATGAAGTTTAAGAGGCCACAGGTGATAAACATGGCCCTGCATTAACACAGTTCTCAAGAGCCCAGACTTTGAGTTCAGGTGGACTTGAGTTTGAGAACTTAAGCAATTTTCTTAGCCTCTGAAAGACTCAGTTCCCTTGGATGTAAAAATAGAGATATGATACCTACTAGAAAAGGTATGGTGAGGCATCTGCACCCAACCCAGGACTCGGAACAGAAAAAAGAGATTTGGAAGCCAATGCTTGCAACGAGGGTTAAGGATGTTGTGGGGGCGGGTGGTTGCCAGACTAGGGAAGATGATGAGACCAACTTTGGACGTGCTGAGTGTGAGAGGCCTATGTGTGTCCAAGGGAGGCGTCCAGGGGCAGCTGGACACATGGGCCTGCAGTCAAAAGGGAGGCCTTGGCTGGAAAATGAGCGGGGGAGTTGCTGGCATGTGAGTAGGAAGATGAGCTCATGGCGGGGGGAGGGATTGAGTGTGAGGCCTCCATAGCCAGAGGTTCACCCACAAGGAAGAGAAGCTCAAGCGGGTGGCTAAGGAGAGGCAGTGAAGTAGAAGGAACCCCAGCAGCAGTGGCTTCCTCGGCACCAAAGGGAGACAGGGCTTGGGGCAGGAAAGAGAGGCCAGCAGGGCAGAGGTTTTGATGAGACCACATTAGCTGAAGGAAGAGATGGGTCTATGGGATTTGGCGACTAGGAGGTCATTTACTGGTTACATTTGACGAGGTCAGGAAGGAGAGCTGATTCATGGCTTAAGTCAGGGAGGAGAGAGCTGCAATGGTGATTGTAGACAACGTTAGAGAACTGTGGCTGAGAAGCGTAGGAGAGAACACAAGAACTATGAGGAATGAAACATAGAATTGAGGGCCCCAGTGGGCGAGCCCAGAGACAGTGTGTTTACTGCTGGAAGGGGCCAGTGGTTAGTTGTTATACCTGCAGTGCTCAGCACAGGACCTAGCACACTGTAGGAACTCAATACAAGTTTGCTGTCTTTGAGGACGGGAAGTAACGGGGTCTAGGACACGAGTGGAGGGACTGGCCATTGACAAGAAGAGGGACCCCTCTGTCATCGTGCTGGCAGGCGGGGGAAGAAATGGGTGGACAGTGCCAGGCATGCAACAGAGGGTAGGGCAGGGTTTCCTTGGGACTCTGCTGTTTCTGACTTGGACCCTGGAGGGAGGAAGAGATGGCAAGTGAGTCTAGGCTCCAGGATCCCCAGTATAATCAGAGGACAGAGTGTGAGAGCCCTTGGAGACTGCCACTTGGCACCCCTCACTCCGGACTTGTGTCCTCATTCTCAAATCCAGCGGTCACTTGGCTTTTATCCCCTTCAGAGCCGCATTCTCTTCAACAGACCAGCAGATGGTGGCAGTGAGCTGCTGGACTGCGTAGGAGGGGACCCGAGCCTGCCGGTTTCTGACCCACCACGAGGTCTTCCGGAGCCTGGGTGTGCTAAGCGTTCAGCTAACTAGGTTTCTGACCAAGGGGGGTGGGGGGTGGAACAAAGGACTAAGGGAGATTGTGGACTGAGGGTTTAGGAGCGGGGTGGCACAGGGGCTCTGCTCCTTCTGGCAGCCCTTCATTCCTCTGCCCCTCCAGGCCCTGTCTTATCTGATGAGGCTCTTGCCCTCTGCCCCCCTTCCTTTCTCTTCCCCAGAGGTCCCTGCCAGACCAGATTCCTGGTTCTGGCAGAAGCTGGTTCTCTGCCCCTAGGCAGGCACCACCTGGCACCAGACCTCAGACAGGGCTGGGCCAGCTCCTCCCAGTCATGACTGCCCTAACCACCTTCTACATCTAGAACATCTCCACCTAATTAGGGGCAAGGGGTCCGCGGCTGAGAAGGCCACAGGAAGCTGGAGCATATATCCTGGGAAGGAGGAGACATGGCCTAGGAAGTGGAACGAATGGGGGAGAGTTTCTATAAAAATATGGCAGACCGTTCAGTCTCACCAAGACTCAAATCCCACAAGCTGATGACTCTGCCTGAGATGGCACTATCTCCCAGAAGCTGAGCTGGAAACACCCACTTCCTCATCTAACCATCCTATACTCTGTAGTCAACGGCAATTCCTCATGGTGGGCTTTCTGATGAGTCAGGACCCTTCATGGTTCCTTCACAAGACAGTGGAAGGCCCTGCTCCTCAGTCTGTCTTCACCTTACCTTCTTGCCTTCATCCTCCTAAATCTTTGACTCCAGCTCTGGCAAGTACTGGTACTATCTATGTGACCTTGACCTTGAAGGCTCCCCAGGATCCTATCTCCTCTTTTATCCTCTTTCCCAGCCCCAAAGGAAAGTCCTGAATGGGATGAACTATAGAAACCACAGCCAGACTCTTGGTGGAGTGGCTAGAGCTACATCTCAAATCAAAAAGCCAGGCCAAGAGTGCTGTGTCCACCTCTGAGCCTGGGCCATACATTCAGGAGTCAGTGAGTTTGGAAAAGAAATGCTTCCTTAAGTTTCTAGAGGCAGAACGACCTAATTCAAAGGGGAGTTACCAGAAATACACACAACACACAAATGGACTCACATGCACACACAGATCATGGCTATAGGGAGTGACACAACCAAACATCATGGACGAGCCATGGAGTTCCATGGACACGAGGGCAAACATATGCAAGTGAGGTCATGTACCCAAGGTCAGACACTCACGCCCTCCTCAGGCAAGTCCTGCTTCCCAGAGTGAGGGCAGTCTGTCATCCATACTTACAGGAGGAGGCACAGGGGTGGCTCTAGGCAGGAGATGGGTCCTCCACCCACAGCCTCTCCCCTGGAGTGGGTCTGTCTCCTAGAGACTTCCCCGGCCCACCAAGGGGTCATGCCTAGGTGGCAGAGAGAGCTTTGGCGGAGACATTGCCATGAAGTCCTGGCACAGAGCCTGGGCACATAAAAGATAAAATGAGTAACAGAGTTAGGAGGAATGACGAAGAGCCCGTGACCTCCCAGGACTTAGAGAGGGCAGAGATGAGGCACTGGGCAAGGCCTGGTGGCCCACAGGAAGCAGAGACTCCCTCTGTTGTGGGCTGCACCTCCTCTCCTCAGCATAGAACCTGATAGCCAGAGCTGGGCTCGGTTGCTCAGCCTGTAATCCCGCGCTTTGGAAAGTGGAGGTGAGTGGATTGCCCGAGCCCGCGGGTTCGAGACCCGCCTGGGCAACTTGGCAAGACCTCATCTCTACAATAAATTTAAAAATTAGCCGGGCATGGTAGTGTGCGCCTGTAGTTCCAGCTACGTGGAAGGCTGAGGCATAAGGATCACCGGAGCCCAGCAGGTCGAGGCTGCGGTGGCCCGGAGCGGCCACTGCACTCCAGTTTGGGCGACAGAATGAGACTCCAACTCAAAAAAAACAAACAAACAAAAAAAAAGAACCTGACAGCCAGATACTGGCACCAGCTCCCAGTTCCTGGCTGAGCCCTGGCATAGATGCTAGGCACAGGGTGCCAGACACGGGGGTGGGCAGGGTGGGGGGGCCGCTGGGCCACACACAAACATGGACCTTCATACACAAAAGCAGAACAATGTACAGACTCACACTACTTATTATATCCCCTGAGGATTCAGGGGAGCAACTCAGGGACCACCCTGTCCTAGAAGCTGCCTTCGCTGACTCCCCCTGATGTTTCCTCTGACCGCCCCTCCCATCCACCGACACACACACATACATTCGTGTGGCAGGATTTGGGGCTGTGCATACTCAAAGCTGAGCCCTGGAGGAAAGGGGAAAGGCGGGACAAAGACTCCAAGAACCCGGAGCGGTCATCTTGCACCCCTCCAGCAGGAGTGTTTGGTGGCCGCGAGCTGCTCAGGTGTGAGCGCGCTAGGGCGTGTATGCCAGGGACCTGCGGCCGCGCACCGCGTGGCTGTGCGGCGCGTGTGCGGACAGGCGGCGGCGGCGGCAGCCGCAGCAGAGACCGGGTGAGGGCGGGCTGGCTCCACGCAGTGCTCCGCAATCAGTGTACAGAGCCAGGATGCGGGTCGTGCGTGTCCTCAGGTGTCCCGAGTAAGTGTGAGCTGAATGTGCTCACCTGAGAGCGGAGGCTCAGCGGCCCCGGGCGC